AATAAAATAAAGTGCAAGTTATTTATAGAATTAACTGATTTAGAGATTTACTATGGTTAAATTAATAACAGCATAAAACATTAAAAACAGCTTTGGAGATAAGCTCAATCTACGTAACACCTAAACACACCATTCCCAAACTACAGCACATGATGGCAGCAGCTAAATAATGTACGGATGATAAATGTCTGCAGGACAGCGAAGGGGAGTAAATGTAAGGGCTATTAATCAATACAAAGCATGTATAATTACTTGTAATTCACAACTATGCACTATTTTGTGTTGGTCTTTCACATAAAATTAAGAAAAGATAAAAAAGTCTGTGGTCGTAAAATCCTGTGGATTGATACTTTTTCAAAGGACTGTATCCAAAATAAACAGGTGCTAAGAAAAAAAAAAGTCATCAAGAAAAAAAGTCAAAATGAAACTTTTTTTGGTAAATTATAAAGGTTTCTTTAATAATCACATTATTAAAGAAACATTTATAATTTACCAAAAAAAGTTTCCTTTTGAAGGTTTAGATGTCCTAATGTACTTAAGGTGCCCATTAAATATGTACCCACCTCAGTTCTATTCTGTATTAATGCCATTTAAAAAAAATGTGTACAGTACATGTATCTTTTTGTTCTTTAACTCAATCAGAATATATATATATATATATATATATATATATATATATATATATATATATATATATATATATATATATATATATATATACGTGTATTTTTTTTTTAAGTATAATTCTCTTTTGTTGGCTCTATGATAAACTACAGCAAGTCCTGTACTAACTAGAAATGTTCCTATTTATGTAACACCTGGTGCTGTTTTCATTCTGGCCAATGATTATCAGCAGTCATTTCTGTTTAAGACCTAAAGTTAAGTCAGTTAGGGTTTATTATTGCAAAATGCAATCCCATCCTGTTTGCTGACAGAGACTGAAAAAGAAATTTGAGCATTGTTTGAATAAGGCTTTCAGATGCTAACAGTCACAGCACTGTTAATGTAATAATTTATAAAGTGTGCTACAAACTCTGCCCTGCCAGTGTTGGTGACACAGGGTTTGATTATATGTCCAACTCACGGATATTTGGGGTAAAAAATGTTGTGTCACACAGAGATGTCTCTATTCAAAATAGAAAAGATAGGACAATATACATACATATAAGGTAAATGTGTTTGTTGATTATCCTCACTCCATAGCTGGTAAAGTTTCTGTAAAGTTTCTATATTACGTTTGTTTATAGATGCATAAAATAAGAAGTTTTTACTGTACTTTTATAGCTTTACATACCAATGAATAGAGAATCATGGTCATCCGTTGATCCCTTATTTAATGTGAGGTAATTACTAACCTTTGGATGATATCAGTACCATATTTTTAAAATTTTCCCAATTTTAACAAATGTTCTGTCTGTTTACTTGCTGAATATTGGTTTATATAGCCTTTTGTTTTTAATTAAAGTCTAAATAATGAAGTTATTGAATTTCAGTATGGAAAAATAACACAAATGAGTTAAAAGAATAGAAAAGAAACTTAAAGTCTGATTAAAATCTGCAACGGCCCACTTGGAGTTTTCCACTATCAGATGGGACAACCATTAAACTTTTTATCCAAAATGAAAAAATATGTTTGGAGGTAGAGGAAGTGTGGGTTTAAATTTCATTTTCTGACCTGTAAAGCATGGTGGTTGCAGCATCATGCTCTGGGGCAGATTCACTGCCATTGGTACTACTGATTTATTGCAAAAAGTAGGTGGAATAAGGTAGGAAGGGGTACACCTTCAAATTCTTCTATTTTGCCCTCAAACCAACAGTTAGATGGTTGAAATTTGGCTGCAAAGTGCTCCAGGAGGAAAATCTCCCACAACACAGATCAAAAGATCTGAACACTGCTTATAATGTAAGGACCATGCTATAAGCCTGATCCATTTTAGAAAATAAGTACATTTAGGTAAATTCTTATAATAAATGATGATCAGACATCCAGCCGGATTTCTTAGCTATGAAACATTTATGGTAAAAGTCTAAATGGTGGAAGATATCTGGGCTTCTCTGTATAATTTCAATAGAGCTGAAACAGGGTCATACTAACAAGATTAAATTATTTTGTGAATCTGCTTCAGATATAATTTACTGTACAATATTTATCAATGTGTGGACACTTTCCAAAAAAGTTGACTATCACACCATGTAACGTTGTGGGTCAAATATAAACCCTAACGAAGTGTGCGTGCTTTGTTAGTGGCAGTGGATATTATGATAGCTGGGTGCAGTAAGGACAGCTTGTGATCTCTTGTCAGCAGCCAATGAAAATAAAAAGTGAATGTTAGAGACAGATGGAAAGAACAACAAGCAGGAGACAGCAGAGGGGTTTACTGGAGAAAATCAGCTTTATTGACAGAAGATAGAGAGAGGTTACAGATGTCAAAGCAGAGAGAGAGAGAGAGAGAGAGAGGGAGGAGGAGAGGATGTGACAGAAAAAGGAAGTACAGAGAAAGGTGTGCACAATAGAAAATGGCTCTTTATTTTTGTGTTTCAACAGTCCAAATAAAATTGAGCGCAGACAGATAGGGAAACAGAGACCCCTACAGATTCAAAGCAGTACTGCAGGCTAGGCAGAGGGGCTGGTATACTGACTATCCAATGTGTTTGTCTTTGCTTTCCAACCAAAAAAAACAGACACCCAAATAGGGTGGGGACTGCATTAGTCTTCTACATTACCAAAATTTAACAATTGTTTTCTAAAGAAAACCTCACTTGGATGAAAGGAAAAACTGTTTCCAGAATGCACATTTTTGGGCACTTTTCTTTAAAAAAAAAAAAAAAATGAATTATCCAGGTTTTACCAAACCCAGATAAGTATATGAGGACCATTACTCTCACGGCCCTCAGCCTTAAAAGCCATACAGTCCGCTTGCTGTAAACTGAAAACCTCAAATCACAAGCTTCTTGGAATAACAACTGCAATCAACAGCGGGGAGTTATGCAAGGTTAATGGTGAGATCACACACAGCAAAGCAGTGGGTTGAGTGAAAATATAAAGATCTTCATTGTGTGCTCAAACTGTGATTAAAAGGCATTGCAATACATTTTAAAATCACAATCATAAGAATTCTTCTGTATATCTATAAACATGTGGTAAATAACTTCTTATTAAATTAAATTTAGAAGGTATTTACATTCCTTTTTTAACATAGGAGGCCGGCCTCTAGCATACCAGCTCAGTCGCCATTTAAAAAGCCTGTTAGATTTAGAGACATTTTCTGCAGCTCGTCACGTTAATACCTGTTTTTGTTTAAACGGTAAAATGCAAATCCATCTTGAGAACTCAGTTTATAATTGTAGACAGAATCACCTATGAAAATATATTTAAGAGACAATTTAATGCTAGGATTATGCTTTGTATTGTGAGTTATCATTTGGTACTTGAGAAGGTGTTAATGTGGCTCAATAAGGTTAAATACAACCCAACTGAAAGTCTGAAAATCAGAGTAGTGTTACGTCAGATGAATGCCGCTCTGGTGCAACCTTTCCATCACTGCCCTTTATGAAATTGCAAATATTTCTGCTTTACTGGTCGTCTCAATTTAATTAGTTTATCTTCAAGCTAAAGTACATTTTTTCCAGAACAAAATAAAGGATCTATAAATCTCAATCTGTTTTGTTAAACACCCCAGTTCAGTTGAATAATGTAATGGAAATATTTCAGATTTTAAACTGCTTCTTGTTAATCGTTTGTTATTTAGATTTCCAAATATTATTATTATTATCATTATTAATAATAATAATAATAACCAGGTTGTACAACATTATTTTCTCATGGCACTTACTGCGGATGACTTAGGAGGTCGCACTTTCCCCTCTTTATGGATATGAAAATAAACAACTGACAGCTCTCTCAGGAGTCAACCGGCAGATAACAATTTTATTTTCTAAGTGCACATCCTAAATTTAGCACATGTGTTGAGAGCTTCACATCAGCTTTAAATGAAATGGCAATTTTACTTTCTTAGGTCTCAGCTGCATTTGATCTAATTAAAGATCTAAAAATAAACAGACTGATGAAACCTGGACTAGTTTATTCCAGACATGTTACATTGTTTGAATTAAATTTAAACGAATTAATAATTAAAAATCATAAATGAATCAATAATCAATGTCAGATCTCAGGTACATATACTGGCATGTTTATTAAGTGGAACATTTGGTTCATTTGATTCACTTCTGTCTATTTACAAATGAATTTAATTGGAACTGAAAATTTTATTCATTTTCATGTTCAACCTGTAATCAATCCCTTATCTGAAATTGATTTATCTGTTACTTTTAGTATTTGGTTATAATCTGAAATAAATTAAATCCATTAATTCATTTCTGAACCTTAAAAAAATGGAGATTCTTAGTTTTCCCCCAATTCCGCTGAAATCTAATCTCGTTCTGTTGAATCCTGCCTTATCTTTCATTTCAGCTTGTGAGCCGAATGTAACATGATGCTGCTTATTTATAGTCAACTGTCATAGTGTAAGTCTTTATTGGGACTAATTGCATGATCTGCAGTTAGAAGAGGCTCTATCAGAGTTCCAACATCCAAGATAAATCTACCCCAACTTATAGGTTAAAGGGTTTTAAAGAAATCTTTGACTGTTTTTTAGTAAAAACCAAAACCTATTTTAAAGTATACATTAGAAGAGTTTGTGTTTAGAAAATTGGATGATTCTGTTATTTTTTAATTCAAATAAATGTTGTTCTGCCCTGGGCAAATAAATTAAGCACCTTTCGTTCTATTGTCTAAATCTCATTGACCAAACACACACACACACATCTATATATATAAATCTATATATCTATATATATATCTATATATATATATAGATATATATATAGATATATATATGGGCAGGTCTAGTTCTGAGATGTCAAACTGAAGTTAAAATCTCTGCTACAAATTGTTGAAAATATTTAGCCACCTTCGTAGAACAAAGAGACTTTGCTGACTAAGAGCTGGCAGTGCTTTTACTGTTTGTGTTTTTCTTAAAAAGTCAAATTTGTTCAGCTTTGAGCCTCGATTCAGTAACAAAATAATACTGATTAAAAGAATTTTCCTTTCTTTAAAAGCTCATCGGAGCATGTGGTGGTAGTTAAAATTCAGTTTCCACTGTTTTGTGTTAATAGTAAATGAATTTGTGACTGATTAAATATGCGTTCCCACGCTGTATTGGTTTTCAGCTGCCTGTGCTTTTGATAATTAGACACACTGGGAAAAAAAATTAGCTGTTTTGATCCAACTGGCTGCCAAATGGAGATCCAGGCCTTCCTATTGGCTGCTGAGTTAGGAAGAACAAGAATGAGAGGAAATTACCTCAGGAGTGGAACTGCTGGAGTTAAGAGAGGAAGCAGCAGAGGGAGAAGAGAGAAAAAAGAAAGTTTCCAGCAGAAACATGCATCATAGGACTTATGAGGTTCACAACAAAATAATGTGGTTGAAAAAAGAGAGTCAAATAAATAAAAGTCTAATATAAATATCTATTTATCTATAATTTGTTAGAACTATCAGTGTTGTCGAGTGAACAGGCACGTAAAGAAACCAAGGCAACAAATACCCACTGCTCCAGCTTCTGCAGAGAGACTCTGTACCAGAAGAGGTGTGGGTGGGTCCAGTTCGTTCATCTGTCTCTGTGATTGTTTTTGTTGGAGTGTTTCAAACAGAAGATTAACAGAGGAGGATGTGGCCAAAGAGAAAGTAAATGAGAAATAACCAAAGCTCTGTTTGAACATTTAATAAGCTGCATCACCAGAGGAGATGATGTGGTTGCTTGATGTGTGACTGATTGTCTGTAAAGTCCTGTTTACAGAAGGCTAAAGCTTACAGGCAAGCAGCTTTTTTGCTTTTTTCTTTATCTTAACCGAGTCTGACTTTTCTATAATCATTCAGTTTCTTTTGCAAAAGTATTCACACCCCTTAAACTTTTTCGAAACCTTTCACCTCAAGATCATGAACTTCAACAGATTTCATTGGGATTTCATCTGATAGACCAAAGACGTTTGTGAATAATGTAAAGTAAAGGGGAAAGAATGTTTAATGCTAAGCTTCCATTTTCAAATCCAAAACTTTATAGTGTTGCATGCATTCAGCTTCCCTCACTGCAATCATTTCTATGTAGAGACTGAAATTAAATTCCGTTCTTTGCAAAAATAATCTGGATAGCGGATGCCTCTCAGTCTTAAAGGTACAGTGGAGGATTTTCGTGTGTTTTTGAGAAGACTCTCCACTGCAGAATCCCGTACCTGCACCCAAGAGGTAATGCCTATTAACGAGTATGAGAGCATGCACAAGCCCATTTCTCCTCATGCACGCTCTGTTTAAAAGTTGCTGTTGGCATTGCTCATACAAGCTTACTGTCCAAAATAAGGTTTTACAATGTTTCAACTATGTCAGACTCACCTCCGGTAAGTGAAAATGGGGACGAGCACGTAGGACGGCCTTATGTAAATATAACACCGGAATAATTGAGATTAAAGAGGTCCACTTATTTAGATGATCCACCCAGAAAAAGAACATCCTCCACTATACCTTTAGGTCCAACCACATGCTCTCCATTGGATTCAGACCTAGACTTTGACAGGACCGTCCTAACTTGGAGACTGCTTTTATCTCCTGCGACCCAAGTTAAGTGCGTCCAGTCAATGATTGGATGCAATCAGCTGGTTTTCCTAGATAGAAACTTTAACCAATCTGACTGTATTGTCTCTGTAATGGGCCTTGGGTTGACACTTGTTGAGAATAAACTGAATTGCATTGAATATTTTGTCTTTTGTAGTCCCTTATAAAGTTTTCTTCTTGGATCATACTTGAGTAAACACCATCCAACTGCACCAACTTTGACCAGCTTCTATATCCCTCTCAAAGAAAAGCATCCCCACATTATGATGCCTCCAACACCATATTTCACAATGTGGAGGGTGTTTTCAGTTCACTTACAATGTCAAGTTTCTTCCTTATACATATACCTGCATATCAACGGTAAAAGCTAACATTTGGCCTCATCAATTAGAACACCTACTACAACTAAGGCCTTGTCTCCACAATCGCTTGTTGAACAAAATAGGAGAAATACTTTCTTTCAAATGTTTCCTTCTTCCCTCAACTTTTCCCTAATATTTATGAAACATTTTGAAATCCATTCTATTTTGCTTTGTGTTGGTCTAGCAAATGGCATTCCAATAAAATAAATACACCATGTAAAAAAGTTCAAGAGGTATGACTGTCCTTACAATGTTCTATAGCAGCACAACCACAGCATATCACCTGCATTTTGGTGTTAATCTGAAGTCACAAAATACTGCATTGTCTGAGGAGACAGCAGATTGAGATGTTAACAAGGGAGGTAACAGGAGAGCAAAAGTGATCAGGTGGCTGAGTAAAAAGTCAAAAGTGAGACGAGAAATGGAGTGTTTGTGCACGTTTGTGCTGGTTGATCAGTGTCCAGAGGAGGAAGCCAGAGCTTCTGTTAGTAATCATCCAAACACAGAGGAGAGGAAGGTGATAATAAAAGGTTGGAAGAGGGAGAAGATTCAGTCACATGAGGATGCAGCACTGGCACCGTTTCCTCTTGTCCGTACCTGTGGCGGGGGTGAGGCTGGGTGGTGGGGCTATGTTTTCCTCCTGGTTTGCAGGGGGCGATGAGGCGCTGTCTGGCTCACGCCCGTCAGATGACAGTTCCGTGCTGACTGCCTCGGATGTGGCCGGCCGTCCAGACACCAGGTCTGCGGCGGTGCCGTCGATGATGGAGATGTCGGTGACCGTCTTCTCCCTCAGAGATTTCTCGTCATCTTCGTCAATGAGCACAACCTCGGCCTTCACAGCACCGTCAAACCCGAGCAGCCTCCTGCTCTCACTTGTGTCCTCAACGTCCTGGTAGCCAAGGAACACCATGGTGACAGGGTGCTCTGTGCTGGCCGGGGGTAAGGAGCTGAGCTCATTTGGGGCTGAGGAACCCGGTTGGGACGTGATTGGAGCAGATGAAGGGGGCATCATGCCCAGCCGGGTTTCCCTTTGGAGAGTGACCTGGGCTGGTGGGCTAGAAGGAATGGATGGTGGGGCACAGGAGGGCGGTGACAGATCATCAATATCTGCAGGGGAAACGTAAGCTTGAGGAGCAGCTGGGGTCACAGTCACCTGACCCCTCCTGCCGTCTGTCCCCACTCCTGCGTGTGACGGCCTGGCAGCCCGCTGGACCAACTCATCAACCTGTGCAGAGCTCCAGCCGTTCTCCATGCTGCTGGTGGAGACGCCCCCAGAGGAGGTGACCTCATAGACCACCTTCCTACCGTCGTCGTAGACCTTAACCCCACGTGAGGCCGCCTCCAATGGGCTGACACGATTAGCCGAAAGGATGCGTTGCTCGCCTGTGTGCGGGTCGTGCTGCACGTTGATCTCCATGGCGAACATTGCTGTTAGAACAGGGGGAGAGGAGATGGAGGGGAGGGTGGGGAGCAGTGAAAAAGGGGGTGAGAACAGAAAGGTAGGTGAGGGGATGAAGTGTGGGGACACAGAAACAGCGTCTAAAAAGGTGATCATTAGAACCAAATCTGTTATTGCAGGATATGCTGTTAGTTAAACACAACCAGTTAATCCGGAAACCTGGGAGGTCAAATCAGTATGAGAAGCTAACATATTTCACTGTTAACATGTCTGACAGGCGACGGTTGATTGGAAACCCCTATCAGATATCGGGGTCTTTTCTAGTGCACTTTACATTTGACTGTTATGTCTTCCTTTTTGCATCTCATTTGTTACCAAATAACATGAAGTACATTTATATCTGGGTTCATTTGTTATGGCAAGGCTAAAAGTTTCACTCACAGGGCATGATATATGGTTTATTCATTTAATAATTGAATTGGATCAGAATCAGATATTGAATAAATACGCTTAGATCAGGTATCTGTATTAGATTGGATCAGAAAATACTGAAAAGACAATTGATCATGCATTTAAAATTATCCAGAACAAAAGATCTATTGCCAAAGTATTTTAATTATGATTTAAACAGTTTTAAAGCAGACAAGACATCCTTTTTGTTTCACCATCAAGGGTTTGACTTTTTAGAAAAAGGGAGTTGCGTATAAGATTTGCGCTTTTTTTTTTCTTTAATGTAATTTCTTTTACTCCGTTGAATAAATGTGCTTAAATTAGGATTTTAGCGTAGTTTCATTCAGTGATTATGCTTCTGCAATTGCAGCACAATGTATTTAGAGGATTTTTTCAGTTGTTTTAACCAGGGTGCCAATTAAAACAGCTCCCACTCTGAATGCCGAAACTGCTCTGCTGCTGAAGTTGACCTTTTGTTTTTCGGTTCTAACTGCACAGTCAGCAGAACTTCATTCAATGAATGAAGCATGCAAGATAAAGAACCTACACCATGATGAAAAAGGACATTCTCAATTTCTATTGATGATTGAGGCATTTTTAAAGGTAAATTAGTTCAATCCGTTGTTTCATTTTTTTAAGTAAAGCTGTCATTTTTCTTGTAGTTATAGTGTACTAGTGAAAGTACAGGTTTTCTCAAAAACAGAAACAGAAAGTATTATTTTATTCATGGTACCATTTAAGTTTCATGTCCGTATTTAGTAGGATAAATTAACCTGAGTAACCTTTTATGAACTTGATAGTTGAGAAATTGGCTCAAATATTAGTGTCTGTTCTCGTGAGGTCAAACTGGTCATAATCCCTCTTGGCGCAGCCCCAAAACCTTTCTGTCCTCCCTCCCTTCCCTCCCTCCCTCCCTCCCTCTTTCTCTCCTCCCTTGTCCTTACCAGGTCTTGATGTGGTGTGCTCTCCAGAGGCTGGTCGTCTGCTTTGGAGATAAGCAGCCAGGTCTAGGTGGTTGGGGTCAGGATCTGTGTGGTCCGGGATAGGGGCGGACATTCGGCTGGCAGCATCTAGTGAGCGGGAGCACAGGAGTAGAAATGGTACATGGTCAGTGAGATGAGAGAGAATCTCACTCAACTCCAACTGTGGGCTGTTTGGGATACGTAAACATGAGCACGCTGGGGACACACACATACACACCTCGGTGATGTGAAGCCACACCCGTGCAGAAAATAATACAGAACCCAGCCTCCCTACAGGAAAGCTAAGCCCTCCCCTGTGTGACCCTGACCGCCCCATCCACACAAACACTGCCTCCCTCTCCGTTTCAGCGTTAGTGCCAGCGCTGGTACCCCTGAGGTACAGTGCTTATGCAGCAGAAGTATGTGCATCTCTATGGTTGTCTATGAGTCTTTCAGATGTGTGTCTATATGCGTGTGTGTGTGTGTGTGTCTCTAGGAACAATACATTAGGGGCTTATGAGGCTTGTTGGTGAACAGTGGGGAGATAAAGGCGGTGGCTGCAGAGTCATGGCCTTGTGTGTGTGCACGAGCTTCAATAGTCTCACTGAGCTTCATAGTGTGTGAGTTTTGTTTTTGTCCCAGAGCCGGTATATATATGTATGTCTATGTGAGTGGCCGTGTGTGCAGCTGACTGTGTTTGAGGGATTCAGAGCTAACTCTGGCCTCCATCTCTCCTGCCTCAGCGAGACTATTATTCACACACCCTTGCAGATGAACACAAACATAGTTCTCGGTCAAGTTGTTGCACTTTCAATAGGTGAGTTTGTGTGTGTGGATGATTCTCATACATTTTCTCATTACCAATTACCATATCAACTACAATGAAGGGTTTTATGATAGACCTCAGAGTCAACACAAGAAGAGAATAGAAAGTGCTGCGGTTGGTTTTGTCATTATAATTTTGCCCAAAAGAGTAAAATATCCTATGGGGCAAGTAGTTTACATTTACAATATTTTTAAGGACATAAACATGGTTTACAAATAGAGTTGGTCTAGAAAGACGTCTTCTCTGCAGCACATGTAGGAAATTACAAAAATGCTTGAATGCGGTAAAGTGGTAAAAACCTCAGTGGCTTCTACGACCCTACTGGTCTGTTATCCTTCCACTATATGATTGTAATAGATATCCTATCTGCACAAGGGTGTTTTCCAATATTCTGTGAGACTTCCCTGAGACTTGCCTTCGACTGTTCTAGTTCAACAGTTCAACTGAAACATCATTAGTTCAACTTTTTTATTTTCTTTAGTCCAACTGTTTTTAATGCTCTTTTTTGTTTCTGCATTTTTTATTTTATTTTTTCCTACATGCTTTGATTCTGTTTTATTTTACTATATTTTAATCACGTAAAGCACTTTGCATTGTCTCTGTACTGAATTTTGCTATACAAATAAATAAGCCTTGCCTTGCCTTCCCTATATATACGAGAAGCTTCTACATCTCCACCACCAGTTTCTGCCCTCCTGCAGAAGAGGAAATGCTGTCAGTATTTTCAACTGCTCAACCAGCAGAATAAGAGGAAGAAGTTTAGTAGATTTTACAAACATGGTGGTTTTTATGGTTGTTTTTTTTTAGTTTCCCCCCCCTTTTCCTATCTTCTTCATTTTATTTGACAGTATTGCAAATAGGCTATACTTGAAGCTACAATGCTGTCTGAAGAACTCATAACTTCCCTTGGTGCCTCGGCAAACCATCCAATATGAGCAGTTTAGAGGTATTTACACCCCCAGCACATCGCTGGTGTGTGAGGATCATGATGAAAGAACTGCGATTTTGGAGGTGGAGGTCTCGGATTGCTTAATTGTTTGAGATTTTTGTGAGTTTCCTCGGTTTTAAAAATGTGCCGATGCAGATGTGATGATTATCATTTGGATCACCAAGGGTGTTGGAAAGTTGAAATGTTGGCAGCTTAGCTTCAGCATCTTTCAAGGCCAACACACATGACTTCAAACAGTGGTGGCTCCAGACATGCAACTACTACAGTAGAAAGCTTTCTGCAGGTTTAAAAGTCAGAGAAACCTCATGTTCCACAACGCATGCTGGAGGGAAAATGGGATTTTTACACCACCTTAGGAAGCCCGTCTACAAAAATCATCTATGTTCTGCCTTTTTTTTTTGTGTTGCGATGTGGTTTTACTTAGTGTGAACACATAAAAGGCCAAATGGAAGCACTACTCTGGGCTCATACGTATGTGAGCATCTTTACATATCTAGTTTTTATTTGCCTTACCTTTATCTTGGGTCATCAAGCTCTGCAACAAGACAAAAAAAAATTGCTTAGCATATTGAAGTAAATGAGTTCAATAAAATATATTTTAATCTCTAACCTCCTGTTTACCAATATGACTAAGTATGTATCATGTCTTATTTTGTGCTTTCATTTATAATAAGGTTTTCTTATAGTTTTCATCAGCAGTATAATGAGTTCATATTTTAAATTTAAAAAAAAGTAAACTAAAACACTTTGTTTAAATTATCAGCAGCTGGTTTTCACGGAAATCACATTTTAAGTAAAAACCAATAGATTTCCTCAGATGTGTTAAATTTATTCTGAATACCTTCTGCAGATCTTCTATGGAGCGTTCGGTCTCTTTTAGACGCTCGCGGAGAACTTGCTCTTTGGCAGAAATAAGAGACTCTTCACTCTCAAGTGCACCGATCTCAGACTCCAGCCTGCAAACAGAAAAAAAATAAAAAAAAAACAAACAAAAAAAACATTAATGCATGTACAAACGAAAACTATTTTAATGGAAAGTAGGAACACTGTTTTAGCCCAATGATGGGAACCTCTTTTCCTGCATCATTTTTTTCACTATGAAGAAGGAAAAAAAATCTCATTTAGCATACATCAAGGTTACAAACAAACTGTAAACATGACAGCTAAGGACGGAGTTGGAGTTTTGTTGTTTTTACTTCAATAAGAGGTCCAATTCCTGCCATTTTTTTCCTGAACCTTGAGAATTTTAAGAGAACTTCACAATTCCACAAACTTCCCCATAAACAAAGCTGTGTTTGTATGTAAGCAAGCACACTCCATGTTCATGGACATTTAAGAGATAGATCCAACAACAATACTAGGAAACTCTCTGGGAGGAGGACCCGGGTTTGTTTCCTTGCTGCAAAATATGTTCCTCGTGGGAAATTAGGTATTTGTGAGGTCAGTGCATGTAAGAATGCGTATGTGAAAGGTATTAGGGTTCAAAACAATACCACATCAACAGGCAGTCCTTCTGTTGTGTTCAAGTGGTGCTCACTCATAAATTAGGGAACCTATGACCATGAATGAGTTGCAGTCCATGAGGTTTTGACTGTACCGTTTGATTCCAGGGACATTTTATTAAAATGTTGGTAGAGTTTGAGGATGTTATTTGAAAGCCATACTGTAAAGATTTTCTTTTGTTAGATGAGAGGGTGTTGCTTTGAATTTACACAGGGACCAAGTACCCCTCTTTATTTGCACTCATGCACAACAACTCCCACATATTAAATGAATTAACATGGGTGTATGAAATTGTGGCAGAATTAGTGTCAATTTGATCAATTAAATTTGATTTATTCAGTTCAGTTCAACTAATCTACAGTTTATTGATCCCCAAATTGGGAAATTTCAGTGGGAAAATGAGACACAAAACTTACAGTGGAAGCAAAATTGTTCTTTTTCCCTTCTTACACAGGATTTTTTTGAAAGCTGAGCACAGAATCGGCCTCCGTTATGCCTCTCCAATGTATTTTCTGGAGAAGAACAGTTGCTTTATTCAGGGTTAGCTCAGGGTTATCTATGAAAAGACCTTAAATGGTCCATGTACACACAAAGTACTTTTAATTGTCCTTGCTTAAAGGAGACCTTAAACAAATATAGCCATACAAGGTAGCTGCCATAACTCCGAAGATTGTTATCAGAGTTTATTGTCTTGTGTAGCGTTGTGCTGACATGAAAGATCAGATGCTTTATCTTTATTTTTATTTATGTCATTTTTGTTTGTGAGTTTGCATCATACTCTCTGGATATTATGCTCCTTGGTTATTTTATTTGACTGTAAAACCCCATTAGCAATGCATTCAGTTTCTGTGGCACACAAATGACTTTAATGTTTGAAAATAACCAAATTTAACCACCAATCAAAAAATGAAGCAAATTTTCAAGGTCAGGGTCCACTGGATCTCTTCAGGTTTTTTTGGGTGCCATCTAGTGGCTGAAACAGCAATTAAATGTATATTAAAAGGTCGGTTTTTTCTTTATAAAATGCAATCAAACCCCCACCGGACTGTAACCCATTGATTTTTCCTGATTATGCCTGGGAGGAAATGCTTTCTACGTCTTACACCATCTAACATAGAAGGGAAGACCTTCACATCTAGCTCTACGAGTGTTTGTTTCCCCCTATGATTCAGAGCTGAGGCAGTGAGACACTAAGACAACAAATGAGAGAGAGAGAAATAATAATAGTAGATCTAAAGAGACAACCACAGCCTAATTTTCCATTGAAGAAATATACTGATGTTTACTGACAAACATCTGGTTTATTCCTAAATTCCTTTCATACCCAGAACCCCCCAAAAATGAAAAAAATAAATAAAATTAATTTAAAATTATTAACAGATTTTACCCAACTAACAAAGGAAAAAAAACAACAACTTTGACATTATAAACTGTGGTTTTTGTGAGTTGAAAGTGAAAGTCTGGGGCATCTTTTCTTTGATTGCACTGTAGTTGAAAGCTTGTGGCTTGATTTTCTATTGTGAATCCAGTCTAAAGGAATTCAGTTACCTGACTTACCCTAAGATAAGTGTTATTTGGTTACCAAAAAATTGAGGTAATGAAGTCACTGTTAATATTTTAGTTTTATTAGTAAAATTTTATTTACAAACATTTCTTCAAATGTTATCCATTTATATCCCATTGGAAAAATTAGACAAAATCCTATGTAAAATCTTTAGAATTTGTAAGAACCCAAAGTAATGGTAATTTTCTATCTTTTGTGGGTAAATTTAATACAATGCTTTAAAACCCTGTCCTTAAATCTATGTATAATATAATGTTGCCCCTTTATTATTATTATTTATTTTTTTTAATTATTTTTTATTATAGTTCCCTCTCCTTTTATCATTGGTTTTCTTCTATATTAAGATATCCTTTATACACTTTCTGTCAATGCTGTTGTTTATGCAGTTCTGTACTGGTACCTGATGTAATTTACAGTGGTTAAAGTTTTTTTTTTCTTTTTAAAGAAAAATTTTTTTTTAGTAATACTTCTCCAAGTTCTTTAACAAAAGGTCAATCTAAAAACCAAATCAAGAGAAACTGTTTGCTTCCGACTAAAACAGTAAACCAATCAGATGTAATGTGATGCCAAAATAAAAAAACAAGACAAGACAAAAAACAAAACAAAAAAAAAAAACAGATCACTTGACAAAGATTTAGCATTCACATCTTTTAGATTAAGATCTTCTTTTACTAAAACGTTTCTGGAAGTAGTCGGCATTCCTTGTTTTCTGCCTTGTATTTTGCTACTCAAATATAGCAGAGCTCTTTGTTAACAACTCACTGTCATGGCCTTAAATTATCACACAAAGCTCTCTGTGCCAGTCTGAAGGCTTCATCCGTCCTTTTGTTTGAAATTCAAAAGATTCCAGAAAGACTTTCATATATAGTCCCTTTCAGAAGATGGATCCATTTCATTTATTTTTCTTCATATATTCTTTCAAGACCCATGTGCTGAACTTGTGTTGTTTTTTGCTAAAGCTTTAATCCAATAGTCACACTTTTCACTGCAATATGAAAGAAAAGAAAATTTCAAAGGGATTTACAGTAATGTTTGCAGATGTTTGATAATCATTGCATATAAATACCATACAAAAAAATGGACATGCTGCCTTCTTTATTATCTGCCTTCTTTATTATCTGCTTTTTACATAAAACCATTTATCTGATGTATAATTATTTTTTCCCTTTCTAATCAGAGAGGGAAAAAAAAGTAAATTAACCAAATCCATTGAGGCTATAATTGTGAAGTTTGTTATACCATGAAGAGCATCTGTTCTGCTTCTGAGGAATACTTCAAACTGTGCAGCATTCAGAAATTGTCTATTTAAAAATTATAAAAAAAATTGTATTCTTTCGAATAGTTTTAGCTATCAGCAGGTTTCAGGTGATATCAGAAAATTTAACTTTTATTTGTCTAAACACAAAATGGAATATTTTAATGCTTCCTTTACAGAGGGACACATTTCGGAATAGACTGTCATACAAAGAAAAAAAATCTCATTTAAAAGGTCTCAGCAAGAGTGTGTCGCTCTGCACTGATAGGAGATTCTTTAGACAGAAGTTGACAGATTTTACCTAGTTATAACTAAAAAACAAAGACAGTAAGTCTTTAAAGTTTCGTTTCAACACTCAAGCTGAATGCAATGACTCAGGAAAAACATAGCTGTGAGGAACTGCTTCCATAAAGTTGTGCAAATCTTAAGATGGGTCAATAAATTAAAAGCTAAAAGACTAGAAATGTAGAAAAAAAGGCTTTATAAGGGCTCAAGCTTGTCAAGGAGATAAAAGAACATTCTGTTTTACATTTTTCAATGTAAGATTGTAATTTTGCAATAGGAGATGCATCCATTTACATATTCTTCATATTGTTTCTACCAGAGAAATACCTGCAGAGGGTGCTATAGCTTTAGCAATAATTGACCTCATCTTACAGCTAGGTGTAGGAATTCAGGTTAGGAAAATAAACTTATGAAAGCAAATATTTACCAGGCGTCATCGTGGAAGGAAGCCGACTGCAAGGAATGGGGGAATATTTGTTTTATTAAACACACTCGGATGCATAGATAATTTTTTCTGCATGTCTTTTGCAGACCTTCTAGATTTTAAATCTGCAGTTATCTCTGCCTGATTGTCAGTGTATATCAGATATAAAACACAGAAAAACACAGTGAAATGCTGGCAACAACAGCAAAATGAGTAGGCACACTTCATCTGTTTCATCTCCAAGGAGGGCAGAGCTGCACCTCTGTGTTAGCATCCAAAATGCATCACACTTCCAAAACCTGCAAAAGCTAGAGCTACCTCTGTGAGCCCCCCCGAATATTCTGCCAAGATTATGTAACACAGTAAAGAGCTTTTAACTGAGCTTGTTATGATAGGTTAAGTTTGCTGTAACCAGAGTTCCTGCTCCCAGATCTCATGTGCCAGATCCCAGAACTTAAAGGTCTTTGGGTCTGGTAATTTATTGATAGCTACAACAAGATAAGATGCAACAATATTGATCTGCAAAGTAGGGGCAGAATTCAGCTGGGAAAGTCAGATGGACTTTGATTACACACATCAACAATGTTGTGTGGTTATGCAACTACATTAAACACACATGAAAGTGTGAGAAAACTGGGCCAGGGTGTATTAATTACACAGCAAAGCCACAGTTAATTCTGATACTTGCACCGTCAGTAAAAACAAGCACAAAGGCATTTTCTTGCTGCAATGGTTTTGCTTTAAATAGACTGGTGGCATATAACTGGACCATCAGAGGCAGATGCATGCATGGAACGGAAACCACACAGATCCCTCACAATGATGGCGACAACAGCACAGATCCGTCTGCTGCTACATAAAACGAGCAATAATCCAAAAGCAGTCTGGTGTGGGCAGGCATGGGTCAGTGCCACCCTGTGAAACG